GCATAGACACACACTATAATTTCAATATAAATGCTCTTTATGATATCATAATAACGTTAATTATAGTACTTAATTACAATTAGTGTTCCCAGATGGTCAAGGAATTCCTTGATTGTCAAAACATAAGGGGGTTTTGACAAGAATCAAGGCGGGAGTCATTCCTTGACATGGAATTTGATTTTTCAAAAATGTTACATAAGTTCTGTAAAATTTAACTTTTACTAGACTCATACACACAGTCTCATAGACAAAATGCATTACACGTTACAAAATATTGTTGATTTGCAAAATATTGAACCTATTATTACTAAATTTTTTTAATAAAATTTTCTAAAAACGGCATTTTTCCAAAGTTATAGTGTATATCAAAGAAGTTTCCAATAGACGATAAATTGCAAGATAATATTGATTATCTTATTCCTTAATTACTGTTTATACTAATAGTAACATTAGTATATGTGAAATGACATACCTGTTCGCCGGGCAATAGATACGCGTCACGTGATTTGCCAATACCTTCATTGACATCAGTGACACCATCCATAATAACAGGTTTGATCATGATCAATTTGCCCACACTTTTGGACCATTTCTTAGCGATTGTCATTTTGAGCCGATTCGACCACTTCTTAGTCTTTTCCGATCTATACGTCAAAAGCATCCGAAGTCTGGCCAACAAAATGTGGTAAATCTCGTCGATATCGGGCGCCACCAGACCTTTGCCGACCAACTCTAACAACTCGCCGGTCATGTGTTTAACCCGCGCCGTATTGTCCGATAGTTTTTTCATATCCTTAACAATCCTATCCCGTATTGTCGGCGATATTTTGCTAAACTGTACTCTAAATATAAATATCAATAAATCTTCATCTGTGAGCTGATCCAACTCTACGTTGAGTCGATCGTATGACATGACATCAATGATTACCACTTTGTCCGCCCATCCCTTCAGTAACAGTTTGCTGGCAGCGAAGGCGCCGTCCAAATAGCCGACCACATCGTACCCACCCCTGGGCTCAAGTCGTTTCATAAGTGTCACAAAATACTCATTCACTTGTTTGAGCGTGGTCAGTTTGTTCATATCACGTGTCCAGTTGAGTCCAATTACGGGCCGATTAAGCGATTGGGCCAACTGTTCAAACATGGTGAAATTCAAACTAAGGGTTGGCATGAAATACACGGGTCGACCGGTTGTCACCGCGTTTAGACGGGTATGCGTTTCGGTGGGTATTATAAATTTGCGTTTCAAATAATTAGCTCTCATTTGTTTCATTTCATCCAGGTGACATTCAACGTGGCCAGTATTACCCGACTCGAAGTCCTTTAACATTCCTATAGTAATGCTTTTGATTTGATTCAACGATATGTTTACATTGAACTCTCTCTCCAACTCCTGCTGCAGTTCTACGGCAAACATCGACTCGAGTCCTATCTCCCCGAGTGTCAAGTCGTTGGGAGTGACCGACGGGTCGATACCCAACGCCCGCCACAACTCGGCGATTACATGCGACTTCACACCAGTCGACGCTTTAGTACTCATATCTACTTTAATCTACAAAACAAAATAAACACAAGTTTTATATATTTTTTAATAAATATGTATTTCATATACAGTGCACTGTACTTATAAATTATATACATTATGTACATATTAATATAAATATCAGGATATAAAATATCAGGGCATAACTGGCGGCGTTTTTGTTATATGTAAAGATGCTTTACTGTCAAGCATTTATACAATAACGTAATATTTATTGGTTATACACATAGTCTGTCAATGCGTGCATATCTGTGCATTCGCGGGCAGAGCTATAATGTATTTCCTATGAGAGCATAGAGGCAAAGTATACCTTATAAGTCGTCCTTGACAGACCCTGGTTATACATGATAGATCAATATTTAATATGTTTCATGTGGGTTCATTTAAAGGTTCATTTTAACATTTTAACGCTGAATCAATGCATATTTAGTGCTATGAGTAAACCTTTGTAAAAACGAACCCTCAAATGAACCCAGATAGATCATATTATGTCACACAATATACAGCCGGGTTTATCAGTGAGAATGTCTGATTGTGGTGCCAATTGTCATACCTATCAGTTAGTGGTTTTTTGCAATACATTATATAGTATTACAGAAAACAATAACCACTAGCGGGCAGGGTTGTATGAGGTACAAAGTATAAAATAGCAATCATAGTTACACTGTAGAAAAGTACATACATATGATGTGACCACTGTTTGCTTAATTGACAAAAGTTTGTCTAAAACATCGCAACACGAATTAATTCTCTGCATTCGGACGCATGTTATCGACAACAGGTTCTCTGATGTGTCGGCAAACACTCCCACATCACCGACGGGTCCGTACTGTACGGCCAGTCCGTGCAGACCATCCCTACGTCTCTCTTCACATATACGCTCACACATGGAGTTCCCGAACGCATAGTTTGTTTGTCCGCCGTTTCCTTTACCACAAGTTAGAGATGAAAAGACAACAAAATAATCCAATGGATAATTCAATTGTCGGGTCAGTTGATCCAGATTTGCAAATATTTTGTGTTTTGTATCAATAGATGAGCAAAACTTTTCAAATGTTAACTTTCCCAATAAACAGTCGTTTAAGTCTATCGTTAAATGAAATACCCCTCCAATGGGTCCCAACTCTTGTGCCTCTCGTAACACTTGATTCGTGCCCTCAATAGTGAATCCATCGGCAGTCGAGACAATCCATTGAGACTCAAATATTTTCATATTTTTGTAAAATTTCTTGAAACGATTGTAAATATATTTCTGATATTCAGTGCGAAGTCCGGACCGGGAAGTGGTTACAAACTTTCGGGCGCCGAAGAACTGCATCCATGGAATCAGTTCCAAACCAAAGCCACCTAAACCTCCGGTTATTATATAGACTTTGTTTGGATCAAAGAATGTCTTAATCGTTGTCACCATATCTACGGCCGGTTTAATGGCCATCAATGGTCTCCTATCTATCTCTTCGGCTCTCATTTTAATGACCACTTTTCCCATATGTTTACCGGTTGTCATATATCGGAACGCTTTGTCCGCATCCTTGGCCTCAAACAATGTATAATTCAATGGCTTTACGCATCCATTCTTCGAGTTCTTGTGAACCCAATCGTAGAAATCGTAGAAGAATTTTATATCAGTAGTTATAGGTATGTCTACAACAACACCAATGAATTGAATGTCGCGCACAAAATCAAACATGCCAATTTGTTTGTTTTGTATCATGTCGAATCGACCTAGCTCAATAAAGCGGCCACTATTGGCCACACACTCATAGCTGGCGTCGAGTTTCTCTCCGGACAATGAGTTCAACACAACGTCGACTCCCTTTCCGTTCGTGATTTTCAATAGCTTTGCTTTGAATAACACATCTCTTGAGCCGAATATTCTCTCCTCCGGTATATTGTATTCATTGATCAGAAATTGTTTCTTCTCTTCGGTGCCAACCGTTGTATAGATATCGCAGTCGNCACATCTCTTGAGCCGAATATTCTCTCCTCCGGTATATTGTATTCATTGATCAGAAATTGTTTCTTCTCTTCGGTGCCAACCGTTGTATAGATATCGCAGTCGTAATGCTTACACATATTGATGGCCGCCTGACCCACACCTCCCGCCGCCGAGTGAATCAATACACTCTCGCCTATTATTTTGAACAATTAATACAATCGTTATTATAATTAATTAAATAATAACTTATGGCTATTTAGTGCCTGGTGCAAAGTTAAGACAACTCAAATCTAGACTACCGTGCACTCTGTATAATTCCATACAAACCTTTTTTTAAATTAGCCCGTTTGATGAGCGCGTAATACAGTGTGCTATATGTGCTCAATATAGTGACCGCATCTGCCATTGACCAGTGCTCGGGAACTGTAGTCATGCTATTAATAGTGGCGTTCAGTGATGTGGCGAACGCACGATAATCAATACCCATCACCCGTTTGCCGGTATCCACGCGACGGCCCGCGTATTCACAGCCCAACACACAATCAGTGAACAGCTGCTCCGGACCCGCGGGTATGCGACCTATAGTTAAGCAATCATATAATAAATAATACAAAATTATTATTTTGAAATATTCAACTAAATTTATGTTGGTGTAATTGTAGTAAATTTTCAATTATGTTTTATGTTTAATGCATTAATAATTTATCTGCATTTATGAGCTAGATTATTTGCAACTTACCCGACGCGACCATAACGTCGTGGAACGAAATGCCTGAACAATACACTTCAACACGTGTTTTGGAGATTTCCATATTTGCGATGCTCCAGCTCGTTTTAATTTCGGGTATTTTCCGGGAATCATACCATTGAAGTCCCGCCAAATCTTTTGTTGGGCCAGAGTTTAGGTAATAATCATTTGAAACACATTTATCAAAATCTGCGGGAAGTTTGAAATGTCTATAAGTTCCCAGTTTTCCCCCTTTGATAACATTGGCGACTAAATCGTTGGCCAATATATCAGAATAGGGTTTAGTATTGAAGTCAATGTTAGTGTCATTATTGGTGTCCATATGGAAGATATACCGGAAGTTCTCTCCGCCCGGTTCTAAACGCAAACAATTCACTAAACCTATGATTCCATTAATACTCGATTCCTTAGACATCAGCCATACGTTATCTGTCTTATTGTCCGCACGCATGGCGTCAATGATCTTATCTTGTAATACACCAAACCATTGCTCGTAATCACCACTTATATCAATAACATTGTGTTTCTCCGGTATAATAGGTTTGTGAATGATTTTTCTAAACATCAAACATATGGTTCCGATTGTATCGCTTTTGGTTGCGATTAATTTAAACCCAGTTTTAGTTGCAATTGATTCAAACGTTTTGATTCTTGCCTCCAATTCATTATTACTGGGAATTGTGTTTCCCTTTAAAGACATGAACGCAATCTCCGGTTCCGTAAACTTATACCGAAATATCGATACAAGAAATCCATTTGTATTAATCGAGTCAAACAAGTCTTGTGTGAATTGAGACAAATCTATTGGCCATAAGTCTTGTGAGTCTCTCATTATAACCAAATGCGAAGGTTTGAGTGGTATTTCATCATTTGGTTGCCATTCAGAAGCCCTCTCTCTATACAATTCATTCACCGATTGTTTGTTTTTTACGATTAGTTTGTAATCGATTTCAAAGGGAAGTATTCGGAAATGTGTGAAAATCTGATCGATTTCTTTGGCCACAAAACTGTCGCTGAGATTAATTTCAGTGATATTTATCTCTTTAACGGTTACATAATTTTCGCAAACAATTTCCATCAATGATCTAATCATACGCTCATTCTTCTGGATCTGATTGACCACATCTTTACTCAAATCGTATTCACTATTCGTTTGTATTTCATTTAAAATCTTTGAAACTTCTTTAGAATTGATTTTATTAGTGTTTTCTTCTAAAGCTTTTTCCAATATTCTATCAAATGTACGAAACATTACGTGATTTTCATTGTTTTCGGTCCGAAATTCTTGTATCACTTCTTCGCCAACTTTTTCGCAATTAAAATCACATTTAATTTCTTTGACACCCATTTGTTGCAGTTTAGACGCCAATGAGTTACAAACCTATCATATGATCGATATATTAATAAAAAAAATTTAATATGGTATTTTTAATCACAATTAATTTATATAAAAATATGGTTTATATTACAGGTACTGTTTGTCTACCTGTAAATACTTGGTCACAGCGGCCGATAAGTAGCCATCAATAGCCTGATTGTCATCGTTGGGACAAAACTCTTGTGAGTCCAACACGAGAGCAGTGATGTCCTGACGACGGGGTGCGAAATATGTGAACACTTCGTCTAATTCAAAGCCGGGCGCCACCAACTGTTTGGTCGCCATATTGTAATAAAATGGCATTTCGGCCGAGTATTGGGCGAACCGGTCGTCGAAGCGTTGCTTTTCTTGATTAAGGATCGACTCGTATGACTGCAATTCGTCGGCCGCCGGTATTTGATCACTGGTAGTAAGTATGAAAGGGTTCGCATCGTTGTCGGCCAACTGCTGAGTGACGGCCGTAGTCGGCGCCGTCTCATCGCGCCTACGGCTACGGAAAGCCTCTAACATAACCCTTGGGTCGAGCCGTAGCTTACGTATGAACACCGGTATGAGTAGCTTCCGGGCGGGCAGTGATAGGAATCTTGATTGCGAAATAGAGTCCATATAAGTGATCAAATTGCCGTCCCATTCGCACACACCGTCAAACTCGTTGTAATCATTGGTGCCGGCAGTCAGTAACCGTTGAAACGACTGCTTATAGTCTAAGCCCATAATACGAAACTCTTTGTATATGTCGTCCCTATTTATGGTGTGTTCGGCGGCCGCCAAACGCCGTTCGCTATCGTAGAGCAAGTGCTGAGCGATTAGTGTGTCGTCGCCCACAGACGCGCGGATTTTGCCCGCAACGCATACGTTATCCTTCTCGTGCACGGAAAACTCACCTGGGTAGTGTTTGGAAAGTATTTGTGTAAATTTTAATTATTTAGTTGTAAAACTTTATATTATACTGTAAATACTGTATTATAATATATTAGTATAAAAACTAGCAATTGTTGATAATCTATTATTTGATTATTAATGATTATAATAAATATTGATGATTATAGTATGAATGTAAAGTATAACTAACCGGATAACGGATAATATTTTACTGTAAGAGTGACCTCATTGCCCTCGGTCAGAAACACGGCCCGCCGGTACTGAACGCTTTCAAATATAACGGGCACGTTGTACCACACGTTGCCCATGGAAGCGGCCAGTTTGCGCCAGGCCAGTATTAAATATCCAAAGCCCGGAAATATAGGGTTGCCGTCAACGCAATGGTCCAAATAAAAGGCGTCTTCCATTAGACCACAATTGATGGTCACATTCATATCGCTGGCCGTCGACTGGTTATAGCGCTCCGGATATTTAGATATTGGAAGTTTTAAGCTGTGATCCCATTTGATCAGCGAGTTTATCGCTTGCGTACCCCTCGGCACCGGCCACTCAACCTTCGGGTAAAGCTTATCGACCGACATATTAACGCCCAATTCATACAGTGTGGACAAACCCGACAGAAATAAATCCATGTTTTTATCGTTTGAGTCTTTTTTGATGAGCGATACGTAAGAGCACTGATTGAGTGTTTCGGTCACTATTTTGCCAAACAGAGAGTGCGGACCGATCTCTAGCACAATGGCGTCGGCCGGCAGTTGTTGTAAGCGGTCATAGAATTGAACAGGGTTGGCCAGATTGTAGGCGTTGTACGCGCCCGAGGCGTACAGCAACCTCTCATCCTTAGGGTTGGCGCTCAAGAGTGAAGTGGACAACCATTTCTTGGAGCGCGGCTTCGGATGCGGTATATATTTATCGATAGCGTCGGCCAACGGCTGAGCGGAGGTTTGGATGTATTTTGAATGATAGGCAATATTACTGCTCTCTAATTGTCGCACAAATACATTCTTCTCTGACAGCGATTCAATGATTTCTCTCATTTCCTTATCCGGGCCTTAAAATTGAGAAAATTGTCATAAAAGCCTAATTACTCTTAAATGTATTTTTTAACATTTGTAAAATTATTTTCAACAAATGCATACCCGATATGACTACACTCTCCTTAGCGTTATTACAGGCAATGTAAACACCGTTTGGACACAACTTTTGCATTTCAGCCTTCGGTAACCCCACGACAGCCATCAGTCCTTTCGGTATATTTTTGTCATTTGTGGTGACTATTCCTCGAAGTGCTGACGCGATCATTGTCTCCCGTGTAGTCATACACCCGTCAGCGTAAGCACAGGCTATCTCTCCAAACGAGTGGCCAATTATGCCGTCGGGTGTGATGTCCAGAGCTTTCATCACATCAAACAATGCTATCTCTATAGCAGTCGTCGAAACAAATTTTGCAGTCATTGTAGAGATCGCTGTCTTGTCTTCGGATAATAATATTGTTTTCAAATCAATGCCAAACTCTTTGAGTATTTGATGGCATTCTTCCACTTTATCGGCAAATATCTTGATTGGCATCAAAGCCTTAGCCATCGCCGGCCACTGACCGCCCAAACCCGGGAACAGAACCCATAGAGGTCTTACAGTTTTACATTTTTGAATACTAATTTGACGCCTGTATTCGTATTCAATTTTATCACTATTTTCCGACACTTTCCTTATTATAAGTGAACCTAATTTTACAAATAATTAAAGTTTATAATAATTCGATTAGATTTCTATACTAAACACAATGACTACACCTCTGAACGGCATTCCCGACGAATTGATAGAAGGCGTGTATTTCATAGCGTTTGCCAAAAGTGCCAAAAAGCCATTCGTCACTCTCTTTGGGTTGTTTTGTATGAAATCCATTACATATTTGACCGCATCTTCAGTTCGGCCGCAAATGTTGACAATTCTGGGAATCGTTTCCGCAATTCTCAGTCCATCACTGGTTCCCACTTTAGGGTTGGGTTCGAGCAATACGTGTGCGTTCGCACCCCCTATACCGAAGTTATCCAAAGCAGCCAAACCTGTCATTACAATTATAATAATAGATGCAAATTATTAAATGATTATTATGTTAGCTTAATTAATTGTAAGCAAGAATTGCATTCAAAACTATGGGGTAATCACAATTAGAATGCCGTCAATATAGCCAGTGGCCTGCATGTATTAAGCCTGCGAGTATAAAATCCAAAGTACATGACTGCATTTACTGGATAAATTGCACTGTTATTTTAACCATTACTGCTCTTCGAATTAACATTACGATATATTATAGACATAATTACCATTTAATTGACTGCCTCTTTATATTCATTATGTACAAATTTATTTATTTGTTAACCTGGTTTATATGGCGTGCACTCCACTATGGGTTTCAACGGCGGACAATAGGGAAGGCATTCATCCTTCAGTTGTTTCATATTAAGGTTGGGAGGAATGCATTCATTCTCGTATACAATACACATTTTAATCAACGATGACATCCCAGAGCCCGCCTCTGAGTGGCCGACATTGCTCTTCAACGCCCCCAACGGCAGGGGTTCCGTACGTCCCGGAGCTTTCACGTAGGCGTTGTATATGGCCTTTATTTCCTGCGGATCGCCCGCCTATTTATTATAATATTTACGACAATATGATTGTTATTAATAATAAATATTAATAGTTTCAAACAATTATTTAATGTTCATCAATTGTGTTAAGAAGTAAAGTGCACTTATATTTTATATAAGAATCAATATAAAAATTTCTATTTAATAATAACAACAATTATTTTAATTATCAATACCTTAGTTCCCGTGCAGTGAGTTTCGAAATAAGTGACCTCCAGGGGGTCCACATTGGCCTCGTTGTAAGTGTCAATCATAAGCTGTTGCTGAGCGTCGGCCGATGGGAAGTACATACCAGTTGTCTTATTACCATCAATGTTCATCCTAGCGGCCAACACAGTGGCGTACACTCGCCGGGCGTTGCGCCTGCGCTGTAGGAAAGCACAGCACACGGCCTCGCCTTTGACGTAACCGTCGGCGTTCTCATCAAAAACTGCGGCCACACCTCTCGGCGAACACATGCCGTTCTCCTGTTGAAAGTGCATTATAAACGGCTCGAACAGCATATGAGTACCGCAAACAATAGCCGTATCAATGGTTCCTATTTTTCATAAATAGATCATGTTTATAAATGTATATTAATCTCTCTCTCTCTCTCTCTCTCTCTCGCTCACTCTC